AAAGATCAAGGCAGGAAGTATGGACCGTAGCATTAAATCTGTATCACTGGTCAGGATTGGGGGTGAGAATGGCTTAGTAGCTTCTTATTAAATGATCTCCCAATCCTTTTAGTATGGTGTAGCCTAACTACCGAGGCTGACTTTGGGTGGGAACCTAATCTTTCCCAGCCTTCATTGCTCCATCAGCCAAATGGAGGCCATTGTACCCACCTACTGACAGAGCATCACACTGAGGGCCAAAAAGATCTGTTTAGCCAAAATTAGTTCCCTTTTCATACCGAGTTCAAGAGCCTGTGGTTAATGAGGGTCTTATCAGAATGTTCTTAGAGCTTGAAAGAGAGGCTCTGTTCAAGTCTTGGTGGGAGGAGGGACCCTCTCCGCATCCCTATTTGGCGTGTGGGGGCGGTGGTAAATGGGGTAGTAAACTACGACCCGTTTCATACTCTAACTCAAAAACCGGGAGGCCTGGTGGGTGTTTCACTGTGTCCCGCCCCTGCAAAGGCCAGCGTGTGTGTGTGTTTGGGGAAGGGTGGGGTCTGCCCCAGGGAGTGTCTGCTCAGGTGCTGGGCAGGGGGACACGAAGTACTCGGGCCTTCTGGACCCCGCAGCAGGGACGGGCCGGGCTCCACGTGTTCCCCCAGCGCTCCGGCTGCGACCGCGCAGGGGCCTTCCGATCCGCCGGATCAGGCAGCTGGAAGCTACGCCTTTCTGCCCGCGCCGGTCCTTGGGAGCCGGGCTCGCGCGGCGGGCGGTCAGGGCCCTCCGCTGGTAAATGACAGTCTCGGGTGCCTGCAATGCTCTCCGGCTTCACTGTAGAAGGAGGCAGCCAGCGAGCGGAGCGAACAGCAGGCGGGGTGGCGGCGCGTGCTCACCTGCTGGTCCGCGAGACTGGGGGTGGGGGTGCTGGGGGCGGGGCCAGAGCGCTGCTGGCCAATGGGAGAGTGATTTCGGCGGCTGGCTAAACTCCCCCTGGAAAGTGGAGGAGGAGGGGTCCGAGGGGAATGTTCCAAGTTCCGGAGCAGCAGAGGGCTTTGGTGGGGGTCCGGAGCCTTCCAGAGACACTTGCGGGAGCAGGGGCATGATCGAGGACTGGAAGACGCCGGTCACGGCCACCTCCGTCACGGACGGTAGGCCCCGCCCTGGCCGTCCCTCTCTTCCCGGGCCCCGCCGGCCACTAGCCCGCCATCGCTGGCTCGACAGCGCCACCTGCTGGACGTCGATCTCCACGTCCGGAGCGCCGGGGCCGAGGTTCTCCGAGGCTCCGACCTCCGTGCAGGAGGAGAACTAGCTCACTCAGCCCAGATCCAGCAGCTTCGGAGCTGGAGGCAACTGCCTCTTTTGGAGTACGGGAAGGGATCAGAAAGGCCTGTGACCATCAGAATAACTTCTTTTCCCGCTCCACCCACCGGAGCTACATTTCCACCGCACAGTCCCACCCAGGGGTGAGGAAACAGTGGGGAGGCGGTCCCTGGAAGCGGGCAGCAGCAAAGGGCGGGGAGTTCAGGAGTTGCATGTGGCACCTGGTGACAGCGACACCTGGGCACCTCGTGGACCGGGGATATCTGTAACACTCCAGGGGCAAAGGAAGTAGCCGCCTGCAGTATTATAAAAGCGATCAGAAAGCCGCCTTAGTGCCCAAGTGTGGATTGTCCTCCTCCCTCTCCTCTTGCCTGACATAGCATAGGGCAGAAGTCCCAGAATTAAAATCAGGACTCGTTCATTCTTTCAATAAGCATTTATCAAGAACCTACTGTGTGCCAGGCACTGTGCTAGGCTGACACTCTGTGTCAGCCACTAACACACAGTCCCTGTCCTTGAGGAGCTCACAGTATATTGGCGGGGAACCCTACATAAGCACATAATTAAGGAACTGCTGTGTGTTGAGTGCTGCCATAGAGGTATTTACAAAGTGCTGTGAGGCCTGGCTCATGCCTGTAATCCCAGCACCTGGGGAGGCTGAGGTGGGTGGATCACTTGAGGTCAGTAGTTCAAGACCAGCCTAGCCAACATCGTGAAACCCTGTCTCTACTACAAAATACAAAAATTAGCTGGACCTGGTGGCATGTACCTGTAGTCCCAGCTACTCCAGAGACTGAGGCAGGAGAACTGCTTGCCCCAGGAGGTGAAGGCCTCAGTGACCCGATATCGTGAAACTGCACTCCAGCCTGGGTGATGGAGGGAGATTCTGTCTCAAAAAAATAAGGAAAACAAAGTGCTCCTCCCAGAGAGGGAGTAACATACCAGCTGCTGGGAGATGAAGGTCATCTCTTGACACCTGACTCCATTAAACCATGAAAAGGCAGAGACTTACTGCCACTTGACTCTGGTTACAATGAACCGTCTCCCGAGGTTCTCCTCTAACCCTCTCCCATAACTGTATCAGCACAGGTTAATCAGTTTAGCTACTTGCACACTTGGAGTAAGAAAGAAACTGGACAGGGAAGTTGCTTTAGGGGCAAAGGATGTTCAGAACAGTAACAAATTTTGAGTGCTAAGGTGGGAGGTGGGGGTGGGGATACCATGAGGGCACTGAGCCAGGGAGGGCAGGCCCTGAGCAGTGGAGCACCTGGGGCGAGTGCCTGTGCAGAGGGGAGGTCAGAGGCCGCCTACCTAAAAGTTGGTCCCCATCTCCCACTGGCTCCATCAGTAATCATTCCTTGATGTTTTGTACTGTGCCATGTTATGTGGTTGATAGTCCCTCCCACTCCTCAAGGAGGTAATGTGCTAATTGGGGACACTAACTGGGTACAGGTCATTGAAGATTTAAGTAATAGTTGTGATTATAATAGAAGAGATGTCACAGGGTGTTCATGATCAGTTGCCGAAAGAGTGGCAATTGCAGTGAGTTTAAAATAGCTCACTTAAGATAGGCTGGTCTGGGGAGGCAGATTCCATGAATCGAGTCTTGAAGGAGGGGCACAATTTAATTGGTGCAGGATAGGAAGGACATTCTGATTGAGCAGAACCAATCAGATCCTGAGGGTGGATTGTGCTTTTTTATTTTTATTTGAGATGAAGTCTAGCTGTGATCGCCCAGGTGTGATCTCTGCTCACTGCAACCTCTGCCTCCTGAGTTCAAGCGATTCTCTGCCTCAGCCTCCCCAGTACCTGGGATTATAGGCACACACCACCACGCCTGGCCAATTTTTGTATTTGTAGTAGAGATGGGGTTTCACCATATTGGCCAGGCTGGTTTAGAACTCCCAACCTCAGGTGATCCACCTGCCTTGACCTCCCAAAGTGCTGGGATTACAGGTGTGAGCCACCATGGGTGGCCGGTATGGATTGCATTTCTAAAGGAAAAGATGTATAGAAGGGAAGAATATTAGTTAAGAAAACACAAGATTGTGTAAATATTGAGGTTGTCTGTATTGCCTAGAGCAGGTAAAAGTTAAATGGAGGATCTTGGTTTCCAGGTTTAAAATGATTAGAATATATGTAGAAGATAATAAGAGCAAAAGCACAGAGTTTGGAAATTGTAAACAGAGCCATGTTCACAGGCCAGCAAATCCATCAGTTTGACTGGAGCAGTGCCTTGGGGTGTGAGTGGTGGCGGAGGGAGCAGGGTGAGTTGACTGGGGAAGTCAGTTAGGACCCGATGGTCAAGGGTCTTGATGGCAGGCCAAGGACATCAGGCTTTGTCCTGAAGACAAGGCTGAGACTAAGCTTAAAATACTTCCAGAACTACTGCCTTGAAACCAAGTACTCCCCATCCCTACTCCAGGACCCCTGGACTAGATTCAGCAGCTAAAGAGTTAAGTTGAGAAAGGATTAGAGATTAAGTATTTTGAAGATCACTGAGGGCTTTTTAGCGAAGAGCACATGGGAGGGGTTGAGACAGATCACACTGGGAGCCCTTGTGTGTCTTGGGTAGTTTGAGCCAGGGTGGAGGTTTCTGGGAATGTGGAAGAAAGGCCAGATTTTCGTACATTGCAAACCACATGCTGGACTTCGGGAGATGGGAGAAGGGGACGCAGAGGAAGTGAAGGCAACCATCAGATGGCTCTGAAATTTCCACCTTAAGAGGTCAGGAAAACGGTGGCACCATGAACAGAAATAGGCAAGTCATGACGGCCTTTCTGTTTGATTGTTTTTATTACAGCTCTGGGATACATGTGCAGAACATGCCGGTTCGTTGACGTAGGACAGGTATGCATGTGCCATAGTAGTTTGCTGCACCCATCAGCCTGTCATCTTGGAAAGGATTTTTGTGAGTGTGCCAATAATTTTAAAATCCACTGTTGGCCAGGCACAGTGGCTCACACCTGTTATCCCAGCACTTTGGGAGGCCAAGGTAGGTGGATCATTTAAGGCCAGGAGCTCGAGACTAGCCTGGCCAACATGGTGAAACCGTCTCTACTAAAAATACAAAACTTAGCCGGGTGTGGTGCTATGCATCTGTACTCCCAGTTACTCAGGAGACTGAGGCAGGAGAATTGCTTGAGCCCATGAGGCAGAGGTTGCAGTAAACAAAGATTGTGCCACTGCACTCCAGCCAACAGAGCAAGACTGACTCAAAAAAAAATCCAGTGTTGGTAGGGGGGCTATCTTTAAGGGGCTGACAAGCATCCATGTGGAAATGTCCAGCAGATCACTGGAAATGTGAGCCAGGAGCTTAGGAGAAACTTGGGGCTGGAGCTCTAGATTTAGGACCCATATCCCAGGAGCCAAAATGAGCCCAAAATGGTTGAGAGTCTTGATGAACAGCCACATTGGAAGTGGTAGGTGAAGAACCAGCCCCAGAAAGGGTTGATGAAGCAGGAGAGCCCAGCTAGTGTGGGTTCACGGGGGCTGAGAACTGTGAAGAGGACATTTGATTTCACCATGAGGTCACTGATGACCTTCTAGCAGTCAGTTTCCATGGAGTTGGAGTAGAGGTGGCAGAAACCAGATTTCAGGTGGGGGTGGGGCTCCCCTTAACCCATGCAGCACCTTTGTGCAAATTTTTTTTTTTTTTTCATGGTGACCCTTTATCAAGATGCTTACTTTTAACCATCAGGAAACTGTCAAATTGATTTTATTAGAAAAAGGCACTTTAATGCCAACTGCTGGAAACACTTGTAGTAAATACATTTGCACAACCAAACACAGTGCCCTCCAGGGGGCAGGGGAGAGGGAGAGGGAGAGGGTGAGAGTTGGCTTGGCGAAGAAGAGAAGAGTGAGAGAGAGGCCAGGGGAGGTAGTTAGGTCAAGTGGATGGTTTTGTACCAAGGACACAGGTCCTCAGGCACTGATTCACATTACCCGAAGTCACCAGATAATAGAGTTGTTTCCATGGCTGACATTTCTTAGCCTTGCCCCCAAACTTGGCAGGAGGGAGGCAAGCTGATTTAAAGAAGGGAGAGGGGAGGAGATCCAGGTCATCAGCCCAGAGGGTAGCTTTGAGAGAGAATAGGTTGGCCCTTCCTTGGAAAAAGGGAAGGGGAAGCAGGGAGCCACAAAGAGAGAGAGGTGTCACAGGGACTCCTGGCTGCTGACTCCCATCTTCTTGGGGAAGGAGTCAAGGTTAGGTGTGAAAGTGGGAGGTAAGAGGCATTGGTCCACCCGAGGAGGTCTGCTGCAGCCATCACAGAAGCAGGCTGGTCTACCTTCGAGGTGAGTCGCAGGCAAGCTGAGCAGCAGAGACCATGTGGTAGGCACCCATGCTTGAGCAGGAATGGGGGTGGGCCCCATCCAGGTTGCAGCCGGACTAGCCTCAGTGACACCTGACAGCTGAAAAATGTCAAAAAGTAATCAAGAGGGAGCCCAGGATGGGGGAAGTAGGCTGGAGTGTCAGCAAAGGCTATTGTCTGGCTGGAGGCTGGTATCACACAAACAGCCCAAGCTCAGGCACAAACATTCAATGAATTCAGCTCTGACTGGGGCTTTGTGGCTAGCTGTGAGGCTGGAGGGCACTTCACCCCTGTCTAATACTTCAGCAAAGCACTCTGGGCTGGCCCAAGGTTCCAGCCTGACCACATGATGACTGTGGTCGTGAACACAGCAAACTCCAGGAAGAGTACCTCGGTCCAGCCAGTGAGGGCTGCTCCCAGAGCTAACTCCTCTTCCCTTCCCTCGTGGTTTGACCCTACTCGGGCTTCTTGTCCCTGAGGAGGGCATATTCCCCAACGTGCGTGAGCATCAAAGCATTCCTACTCTGCACTCGTTCCAGCTCTGCACCATTGACAGATTGGGGGGTCAAGCTTGTACCCCATAGTCTCAGAGCAACTAAATCTTGGCAGGTACAAAGGAATTAGAGATGTTTTCCCTTAAAAACAAAAAACCTATCCCTGTGGCTGATCCTGGAGACATACATACACCCTTGGAGACAACACCTCACAGCTACAGCCCTGTCCTCCCCAAAGAAACTAAGATACAGACCCACAAGTACACACAAGTACATACAAGGATATTCACATATAGGGTAGTAAATTTCCTGTGTAGGGAATGCAGCAAGTGAGCTAGAGCCAGCTAGAAGGGCTCTTCTCACGGAGCTGCTGCACAAACCTCGGCCACAAACTTCAGCCTGGCTCCAGGATTTTCCTCCATCATCAAGTCAGCCTGTTATGCTGCCAAAGCATATCCCCGAGTGCTCTTGAAGGCCAGAGTCTGTTGACAGGGATGTTTAAGCTGGGCACTGTTGATGACAGTGACACCAGGTAGGGCCGGGGAACTGGGGGTCAAGTGTATTGACATCCCACTGAAATGCAGGGGCAGGTGTGCTATTGAAGTCGGTCCCTATGAAAATCCTGCTCAGTTTTGCCTGGTGGGTCACACTTGCCCGACCCCTTGGCTTATATGTCATGGGGCTCCATCTTGATGAGGGAAGTAGGGTTGAATGGGGAGAAGGGGGCTGGGGTGGGGGATCTTGTCAGAAGGCTCCCAGCGGTGGTCACACTAGGCTCAGCCATCAACAGGGACCCTGAGCCTGAGGAGAGCTCAAGTTCAGCCACTGGGGTCAGCCCAACAGTGGGGCGGCTGGGAGGAGGCAGAGTCTGGTTGCCTAGAAGACTCGGATTGTGGGAACCCCTGGAAACAACCTGGGTTGGAAGTGGCTGAAGATGAGCCTGATCTCTCAGGAGCTCCCTCAGGGTCTCTTCAGGAACCAGCAGCCCCTCCATGGGGGCCCCCGTCACCATGCCCTGAACATAGGAGGAGGACCTCAGTGGTCCCTCCTTGACCCCAGGGGCTGCTGTGGTGCCAGAAGTCCTGATGAAGGCAGCAATGACAGTCCCAGGGGGCTGAGAGCTGGGCCCTGCTGGTCCAGCCCCTGTGACCGTGGGTGGCGCTGGGTTGGTCGGACGGTTGGCCCCAGCCAGAAGATGGGGGAGGCCACTGAGAATCAGTGGAGCTCCCGGGGCTGCCACTTGGCTGTCTTGGAAACTGGTGTTCAGGGGAAAGAGGCCTGCAAAGTGAAGGTGTCCTTGAAGGTAGAGGCCGGTGGAACACTCTGGAGAACCAGCTGAGTGGGAGCAGTAGTACTGGCAGAAGGCCCATTGGTCAGCACCGTGGTCAGCGGGATCGTCTGCAGGGTCAGGGCAGAGCCCGACCCCACAGGAGCCACTCCTAAGTGGATGTTGCCGGGCACTGAAGACACACTGAGAAGAAACAGAGAACAGAGTTGGTGAAGGCAGGTAGTGTCCCCCATTTGGCAAGGAAGGAGGGCATGAGAGGAATGGAGCTGAAGGTATTTGTAAATTTCTTTGCTGTGTTTCTTTTTCCTAGAGACAGGGTCTCACTCTGCTGCCTGGGCTGCAGTGCAGTGACACCATTACTGCTCACCGTAGCTTTGAAGCCCTAGGCTCAAGCAATCCTCCTGACTCAGCCTCCCAAGTAGCTGAGTCTACAGGTGTGTGCCACCACACCCAGCTAGTTTTTAATTTTTTCTTTTGAGATGGAGTTTCGCTCTGTCACTTAGGCTGGAGTGCAGTGGTGCGATCTTGGCTCACTGCAACTTCCACCTCCCGGGCTCAAGCGATTCTCCTGCCTCAGCCTCCCAAGTAGCTGGGAGTATAGGCATGCACCACCACACCCGCTAATTTTGTATTTTTAGTAGAAATGGAGTTTCACCATGTTGGCCAGGCTGATCTTGAACTCCTGACCTCAGGTGATTCACCCACCTAGGCCTCCCAAAGTGCTGGGATTACAGGCGTGAGCCACTGTGCCTGGCCATAGCTCACATTTATTAAGTACTTAATATATAGGTCAGGGATCATTCTGAGCGATTGACATGTGGCATTTCACTGAATCCTGAAAACAGCCTGCAAGTGGAATAAGAACAACCTGACTTTACAGCTTGAGGAAAGTGAGGCACAGAGAGGTTATGTGTTAATAACTTGCTCTAAGACTAGCCATGCCTTTGGGTTTTTCTTTCTTTTCTTTTTTTTTGGACGGACTCTCCCTCTGTCCCAGGCTGGAGTGCAGTGGTACAATCTCGGCTCACAGCAACCTCCGCCTCCCGGGTTCCAGCGATTCTCGTACTTCAGCCTCCTGAGTAGCGGGGACTACAGGTACCCGCCACCAAGCCCCACTAAGTTTATTTTAGTAGAGACGGGGTTTCACCATCTTAACCAGGATGGTCTCAATCTCCTGACCTCGTGATCTGTCTGCCTCGGCCTCCTGAAGTGCTGGGATTACAGGCGTGAGCCACTGCTCCTGGCAACGTTTGTTATCCTTTGATGTCTTCTGAGTGGGGATGCTGGGGTCTCACAAGGCCTAGATATGAGTCCCTGGTCTCATGTGTACACAGCAAGTAAGCATTAGAGCAGGGGCTCACATCTAGACCTTGTGGGACCCCAGAGCTCATCTTCCTCACTATTCCACTCTACTGCCTGCCCTTCTCGAAAGGGTATCTCAGTGACCTGCGCCAGTGTAGTGGGAGGTCCATACACATAACCCAACCAAGTCCAACCTTCTCAGGGAAAATCGGAGGTCCCTTAGTGGAGATGAGATGTAGTGAGACCTTGCCAGGTAGGCCTGGAGGTCCCAAGGAAGGCACAGCAGGCGGCTCTAAAACATTCTTGTTGCTTCTTTTCTAGAATGGAGGAGGTGTAGGAGGATGGGACAGGACATGGACGCACTGGTGGCTCCCTGGGGAGCCCCACTCCCTTAAGCCCCCAGATGAAGTGCTGGCTTTGCTATGACTTTGATGTGTGACCTCAGGCAACCGACTTTCCCTCTCTTGACCAACAAGTGCCCTACTGGCTTCTCCATGGCTCTGGGAGGATCCCATGAGCCTGGAGACAGAGAAGAGCTTGGCAAGAAGTTGAAAACTGAGCCCTGCCAGGGCATGGTAGCTCACACCTGTAATTCCAGCACTTTGGGAGGCTGAGGTGGGCAGATCACTTGTCAGGAGTTTGAGACCAGCCTGGCCAACATGGTGAAACCCCGTCTCTACTAAAAATACCCACCAAAAATTAGGTGGGTGTGTTGGTGGGCGCCTGTAATCCCAGCTACTTGGGAGGCTGAGGCAGGAGAATCACCTGAATTCGGGAGGCTGAGGCTGCAGTGAGCAGAGATCATGCCACCGCACTCCAGCCTGGGCGACAGAGCAAGACTCCATCTTAAAAACAAACAAACAAACAAAAAAAAACAACCCCAATGTGAGGTACTGTGCAAAGACTGGTGCTGACCTGGGTGCTCTTACCTCACAGCTTGGTGAGCTTGGCCTGGCTCTCTGCTGGAGAGACAAGCATGGTGGAGGTAGTGGGGATCTCCTCGTCTAGCGACGGTCCCAATTCCAGACTTGCAGATGGCTGGAGACCGACATGCTGGACCTTTGGCTTCTCCCAGGAAGAGCTGCCCTTGCCCTGGGGGGCAGATCTGGATGAAACCCTGGAGCTGGTTCGCCGAGTGGTACTGGTGGAGGCTGCAGAGGCCGTGGAGGCCTGAGGCGGAGCTGCCGTGGCTTCGCTGCTCTCCTCCTCATCTTCAATCACCACCAGGTCCTTGGGCATCTCCTTAAACTGTACACCAGCCTCTGCCCTTCCACTTTGGCCAGGATGCCTCTTTGGTAGTAGTATCTAGAGGAAGAGGGGGTAGGGACTTGGGAGTTAGCTGGGAGCTGGGTGGGAGACCTTCCATCTCCATCTCCCCAGCACACTCCTCCCCCAGCGCTAGGCAAGCGTAAGGGTGAGTGAGGCTGGCTGGGGAGCTGCCGAGGGCCCGAGGGGCAAGGGAAAGGATATGCTCAGCCCTGTAATCCCAACACTTTGGAAGGACGAGGTGGGCAGATCACTAGAGGCCAGAAGTTCAAGACCAGCCTGACCAACATGGTGAAACCCCGTCTCTACTAAAATACAAAAAATTAGCTGAGTGTGGTGGTGCATGCTTGTAATCCCAGCTACTCGGGAGGGCTGAAGCACTAGAATCGCTTGAACCTGGGAGATGGAGGTTTGCAGTGAGCCGAGATTGTGCCACTGTATTCAAGTGTGGGTGACAGAGCAAGACTCTGTCGAAGAAGGAGGAGGAGGAGGAGGAGGAGGAGGAAAAAAGGAAGGAGAAGGAGGGGAGGAGGAGAGGAAGGAGGTGAGGAGGAGAAGAAGAAAGGAGGAGGAGGTGGTGGAGGAGGAAAAAAAGAGGAGAATGAGGGGAAGGGGAGAAGGGAAGGAAGGGGGAGAAGGAGAGGAGAAGAAAAATAAGGAGGAGGAGGGGGGAGTTGGGGGGGGAGGAGAGGAGGAGAAAAAGGCCAGGTCAGAGATACAAGGGGAAGGGGGCTCTTCCTCCCAGAGGGGGCCTGGGGAATGGTCATAGGAGCAAGCTAAGAGGAAAGTTGTGAGACCCGTTTCCTTAGGATCAGTCAGGTCTCCATTAAAGCTGGGAGGAGCCCTTGGAATTAAGGAAAGGCTGGTGATCCCCAGGGCAGGTGTTCTCTGTCCCAACAGCTCCTACCTTAGCGCCCGCCCCATTGTCTCATAGTTCATGTCAGGCTTGTTTTTCTGCTTCCCCCACAGCTTAGAAACAGCTTTGGAGTCCACCAGTTTGAAGATGCCCTTCTCCCGCTGGGTCCACTTGATGTACTTGGGACATGTGTTTCTGTCTTGCAGAAGTGCCAGGAGGAACTCCCACAGATAGATGGTGCTGCCTGCAAAGGGGCGGGCTGTGAGGGGCAAGCCTGGACGGCTGGGGCACCCTGGCAGCAGGGAAGGGGGCTCCCTCCCCACATCACCTGAGTCCCAGCTGACCATACCTTTGCCATCCTTTGATTTCTTCCTAATGGGGATGCTGGGGTCAGTGACAGGTGAGGTACTTCGGTTGCCCTTGCTCTTCCGGACTGTGAGGGAAAGGTGGGGACGATGAGCTGGCCAAGTTGGCTGTGACAAGGCCAACAAGGAGGAGGCAGGTCACCGGGGCTGGAGGCCGCAGATGGCTCTCTAGAGCCACAGCCCTCAGGCCTCTGCACCTCATTTTCAGGCCCCCAGGGTAGCAATGCAACATGGCAATGCTGCAGAGAAACCAAGTGCTTGCAAACAAGTCACCTTTGTGAGAGCAGAGTGCCTAGCCTGACTTCTGATACGGAAAGTCAGCCTCAAGGCGCCACTGTTGTGCAGGTAAGTGTGGAGCTGAGGTTTGGTTGCCATGCTGACAAGGCAGTACGGACCAGCCATCGCCTGAGTAAATCAATAACACGGGGCTTGGGAAAGCCCAAAGTCCTCTCTCATATATGGCCTCAGCTTTATAAAACTCTGCAGAAGGGAGATAAGCACCCGGCATGACTAGCCTTTTATAGGCTGAGGCCCCAGAGGTCTGGGGACTGACCAGGGGGGCCAAGCCTGGGGTCCAAACTCCCAGCCCAGGATTCAACCCGCCAAGATCATCAATGTTTCTGTAAGAGCTTATGCAGATCCTGGGCAGACAGGGGCAGCATGGGAAATGTCAGGCTGCAGGCAGGCTAACGGATGAGGCCAGCTTTCACAGAAGGGAGGCCTTTTGGTCCATCCGTGTCACACCAGAGAGCTGGCCTCTTAACACATCCATGAACCCTGACCACCCCCACACCCCGCCCATCCCCTCAGAGACCACAGACACTCACTCTCACTCCCCCCACTTACTTCTCTTCTTTGATTTTCCAGTCTTCTTGGCACTTTCCTCTTTAAGGACTTTCTCCTCCAGAGAACGCCCCTCCTGGTCACTAGTGTCACCCGCCCTGTTTAGGGCATGGGGCTCAGAGGCAGGAAACAGGTAGTTGGGCAGAGTGACAGCTGGTGCAGGGTCTGAGTCTGGAAGCATTTCGGAGGTACTGACTGCAAGAAGAAAGGCTTGGGGTGGGCAGGGTGCAGGGCAGGGGCTGGAGTGGGGGTCACCCAGTGCTGGAGAGACTGGTAGGTTCCAAGGGAGCGGGGGGGCTCTTACCCCCGGCCCCAAACACAGGATGCACCTGAAATGCCTCATGTGGCTTATACCACAAGGAGAGGAAGCATCTGCAGAGCTGTGGGCACGAGCTGGCCCCAATCACAGCTGCCACATTTATAGCCCACTGCTGGTGGTGGGAAAGTTCTAAGCAGCACCCCAGGTAAAGGGCCATCTTGATTTAGTCATAGGCTCATTTTATGACTCAAAGGGGCCTTAGAGATCATGTAGTCCCATTCCTGTGCTTTCCTGATGAGGAAACTGAGACCCAGAGAGGGGAAGTCAAGTGCCCAAGGTCACACAGCAAGACAGCAAGTTGGTAACCGGTACAAATAGGCACCCACTGTTGGATTCTGGATGAACATTGGTGAGAGCCAGGACTAGACACCTGTCACATTTCAGCTTTATGGCTTGCTTTCCCTCACTGTACCATAGCACGCCTTGGGAGAGGGCAATCTAGGGGGACCTTCCTGTGCCATTAAGGCATCTGCCTTAGAGGGCACTGGGAAGAGCCTGCCTTGGGGGCCCTCTGGGAAGCTAGCAGCCTGTAGGATGGGCAGGGATTCCTTCCTTCCTTCCTTCCTTCCTTCCTTCCTTCCTTCCTTCCTTCCTTCCTTCCTTCCTTCCATCCATCTTTCGAGACAGAATCTGGCTCTGTCACCCAGGCTGGAGTACAGTGGCACGATCTTGGCTCACTACAACCTCCGCCTCCTGAGTTCAAGTGATTCTCCTGCCTCAGCCTCCCCAGTAGCTGGGACTACAGGCGCTTGCCACCACGCCCGGCTAATTTTTATATTTTTAGTAGAGATGGGGTTTCGCCATGTTGGCCAGGCTGGTCTAGAACTCCTGACCTTGTGGGATCACTTATTTCTAAATGAGCCCCACGCTGCATCCCTGTCTTCCTGGGAATTAAGCAAAAGAGCAGAGCCTGAGAAAGGTAGCCTGGCCAATATTATTCAGCCTGGAAATGGAAATACATCCTTTCTTCCTTTTTTTTTCTTTTTCTTTTTTTGAGATGGAGTTTCGCTCTTGTTGCCCAGGCTGGAGTGCAATGGTGCGATCTTGGCTCACTGCAACCTAAACCTGCTGGGTTCAAGTGATTATCTTGCCTCAGCCTCCTGAGTAGCTGGGATTACAGATGTGTGCCACCACACCCAGGTAATTTTTATATTTGTAGTAAAGATGGGGTTTCACCATGTGACCCAGGATGGTCTCAAACTCCTGAGCTCAGGTGATCCACCCGCCTTAGCCTCCCAAAGTGCTGGGATTACAGCCATGAGCCATCACACCTGGCCTGAAAATGAAAAGAAATTCTGACACATGCTACAACATGAATGGACTTTGAGGACATTGTGCTAACTGAAATAAGCCAGCCACCAAAATACACAAAAGATAAAAGTTATATGAATATCAGTGGGTATGGCGCATATACCAGAGTGCACACATGCCTGAGAAACCAATACACAGATTTCATATTGTTAAATGGAATTATTTTGTTGCCTTGAGTTCAGGCACTGGGGTTCACACTTACAGATCTGCTTCTCATCCAGGATATCACTGGGAGACTCCATATTCAGCAAGACTTCCGCGGTTGACATGGTGTGCGAGGTGGCCTCATTGTCATCTGGTCCGGGTTCCATGGTGGGAGGAGAGAAGAAAAGTTCCCTCAGGGCACAAGGCAGGGGGTACAGCTACAATCAGGGCCAGCCCGAAGAGAGGATGATGGTAAGCATCCTTCGGGCTGGCCCTGAAGTGAGTGCTAAGTGAGTGAGAAGCAGGGGACCCTGTCCAGAGGTACTGAGGGACAGCCAGGAAGAGCCCGGCACCCTTCCCTCCCTAACTCTCCACCCCCTCAGCTGGTCTTCACTCCCAATTGTCCCGCCCCATCTCCACAGACCATGAATCTACTAAGATGGTTCCCTCCTCTGTGAAGCAGCACGTTTTTGCTGGTGGCCTTGCCTGTTCTGCACAGGGTTACTAGAAGCCATTGTGGGCTGCTGTTCCCTAAAGACACAGCCCTTCTTTCTACCACACATTCCCTGCCCAGGAAGGGAACAGACCTGTCAGCAAAAAACTGCCTTCCAGGATCTGATCCTGTGCCACGCACAAGGTCCCGTCTGTTATGATGCCATTGTGAACGTCGTCCAGCTCCAGTCCCGAGTACAGATGCAGTAAATCGGGGTATGGTACCTGCTCCACAATCACAGCTGGGAACACAGAGGGGTCTTCCAGCTATGGAGAAGATAGGGATGTGGTTCACGACACACCCAGGTCTTCCAGCAAACCCTCCCTAGCAGAATCTGAAAATGGAATCTGAAAATGGACCAAGTTCACAGCCAGAGTTAGGGAAGAGCAGGTTGTAGACCAAGATAAGGGCTACAATGTCTGGATGTGGTGAGCTTGAGGTGCCTTTGGGACATCTGAAATAGAGATGCCTATTGGGGAATCAAAAATAAGTGTCTAAGAGTTCAAAAGGGAGCTGGTGGTCGCTGAATCCCTTGGAGTAGATAAGAAAATTGAGATGAGAATTCAACCCCTAAGAGTATAACTGTTCTGAAACTAAGCAAATCTAAATTTAAAAGCAGTATGACTGCAAATGGTTTTTTTTTTGTTGTTGTTGTTGTTGTTTTTTAAACTCCACATAGAGGAGGCTGCATGTGGTGGCTCATGCCTGTAATTTGGGAGGCCAAAGTGGGTACATCGCTTGAGCCTAGGAGTTCCAGCCTGGGCAACATAGTAAGACTCCATCTCTATTAAAAAATAAAAATAAAAAACCTTTATATAGAAAGAAATATACCAGCTTGTTAATCATAGTTTCCTTTTTTTCTTTTCTTTTTTCTTTTTTTTTTTTTTTTGAGACAGAGTCTGGCTCTGTCACCCAGGCTGGAATGCAGTAGTGCAATCTCTACTCACTGCAACCTCCACCTCCCAGGTTCAAGCAATTCTCCTATCTCAGCCTCCTGAATAGCTGGGATTACAGGCACCTGCTGCCACATCTGGCTTGGCTAATTTTTGTACTTTTTAGTAGAGATGGGGTGTCACCATGTTTGCCAGGCTGGTCTTGAACTCCTGACTTCAGGTGATCCACCCACCTTGGCCTCGCAAAGTGCTGGAATTATAGACATAAGCCGACGCCACGCCCTGCTATAGTTTTATTTTCGTTCTGGAGTTTTGAATAATTTTCCCCCTTTCTGTCTTTCGTATTTTCCAGATTTTCTTTCATGGGAGTGTTGATCATTCTTTGTGTTGTTGGTTAGTCTCAAGATCTGTTTGTGGATGATAATTCTTTTTTCATGCAAAAAGGATGAGAGTGATCCTCTCTATGTAGTGTTCCTGAGGGATCCAGAAAAGCAAAAATGGATAAAAGACCTTTGGGTTTGGCCCTGGGCAGTCACCCTGGCTAGATCAGTTTCAGGGCTGTACTAGGGTACCAGGCCAAGTCGCAATGGATCTCAATGAGGACAGACTGAGGTAGGCGGTTGGGAATAGTGATTAAGGGCCCAGCATCTAGAGCTATACTGTCCATGATGACACCAGCCATGGGTGGCTGTTTAAATTTAGAGGTAAATAAAAACTTTGGAAAGCTTAAAAAATCATTTCTTCAATTGCACTAGCCACATTTCAAGTGCTCTATAGCCCCGTGTGACTTGTGTCCCCATACTGGACAGCAGAAACACAGGATATTTCCAGCATTCCAGGGAATTCTATTGGATTGTGCTGATCTGGAACCAGACTGCCTGGGCTTGAGACCAAACTGCTGCTCACTAGCAGTGTGGCCTTGGGCAAGCTACCTAACCTTTCTGTGTATGTTTCCCCATTTATAAAATGGGAGTGATCACATAATTGATCCCTTAGGATTGTTTAAACAGATCATACACATAAAGCACTCAGAGCAGGGCCTGGCGTAGACTAAGCTCTCGTTAAGTGTTAGGTATCAAGGGCTTCTAGGAGACTGGTAATGTTTTATTTCTTAACCTAAGTGGTGAGTACCTGGGTGTTCGTTTCATAGATGTCTGTATCTAAATATGATTTATGCACCCTTTTGTATTTATTATACATTTCAAAATAAAAGTAGTTTCCTAAAAGGAGTGAAATGGGCCAGGCGCAGTGGCTCACGCTTGTTTTCCTTTTCCTTTTCTTCTTTTTTTTTTTGAGATGGAATTTCACTCCAGGCTGGAGTGCAGTGGCACAATCTCAGCTCACCACAACCTCCACCTCCCGGGTTCAAGCGCTTCTCCTGCCTCAGCCTCCCGAGTAGGTGGGATTATAGGCATGCGCCACCACGCCTGGATAATTTTGTATTTTTACTAGAGATTGGGTTTCTCCATGTCGGTCAGGCTGGTCTCTAACTTACAACCTCAAGTGCTCGCCTCAGCCTCCCAAATGCTGGGATTACAGGTGAGCCGGCTCACACCTGTTGTAATCCCAGCACTTTGGGAAGCCTGAAGCAGAAGGATTGCTTGAGCTCAGGAGTTAGAGATCAACCTGGGCTATATGCCGAGACCCCATCTCTACAAAAAATACAAAAATTAGGCCAGGCGCTGTGGCTCATGCCTGTAATCCCAGCAGTTTGGGAGGCCAAGGAGGATGGATCCCTTGAGGTTGGGAGTTTGGGAGTTTGAGACAAGCCTGACCAACATGGTGAAACCCCGTCTCTACTAAAAAATACAAAATTAGCCAGGCATGGTGGTGCATGCCTCTAATCCCAGCTACTCGGGAGGCTGAGGCAGGAGAATAGCTTGAACCTGGGAGATGGAGGTTGCAGCGAGCTGAGATCGCACCATTGCACTCCAGCCTGGGCAACAAGAGCAAAACTGTCTCAATACACACACACACACACACACACACACACACACACACACACACACATTAGCCAGGTGCAGTGATGTGCGCCTGTCATCCCAGCTACTTGGGAGGCTGAGGTGGGAGGATCACCTGAGCCTGGGGAGGTTGAGGCTACAGTGATACAGTGAGCCATGATTGTGCCACTGCACTCCATCCTGGGCGACACAGTGAGACCCTCTCTCAAAAAAGAAAAAAGAGTGAAAGGGAAGTAAGAAAGTGAAAACAGAGGGTGGAGACTACCCTGGGGGAAGAAAGGAACTAAAAAGGTAGCATCTTGAAAATGGGGGCAGAAGGGAGGGAAGGTTTTCTTTTAGGGTTGGGGAGACCTGAAGATGTTCAAAGTTGAGGAGAGATCTGAGACAGCTAAAAGATCTGAGAGGCCAGGCACGGTGGCTCACGCCTGTAATCCCAGTACTTTGGGAGGCCGAGGAGGGCGGATCACCTGAGGTCAGGAGTTTGAGACCAGCCTAGCCAACATAATGAAACCCCATCTCTACTGAAAATACAAAAATTAGCTGGGCGTGATGATGCATGCCTATAATCCCAGCTACTCCAGAGGCTGAGGCATGAGACTCACTTGAACCCAGGAGGCAGAGGTTGTAGTGAGTCAATATTGTGCCACCGCACTCCAACCTGGACGACAAGAGCGAAACTCCATCTCAATTAAAATAGGGCCAGGCATGGTGGCTCACACCTGTAATCCCAGCACTTTCAGAGGCTGAGGTGGGTGGATCAGGAGTTCAAGACCAGCCTGGCCAACATGGTGAAACCCCATCTCTACTAAAAATATAAAAACTATCTGGGCATGGTGGCAGGTGCCTGTAATCCCAGCTACTTGGGAGGCTGAGGCATAGAATTGCTTGAACCCAGGAGGCAGAAGTTGCAGTGAGCCGAGACTGCGCTACTGCACTCTAGCCTGGGAGACAGAGTGAGACTCTGTCTCAATAAACACATAAGTAAATAAACAAACAAACAAACAAAAAAGATATGAGAGAGAGGAAGCGGTGGATGGTTTGAGGTGTTGGAGGATGCCAGAGAGGACAGATTCAGGACATACAGAGGTCGGGAATTACCCTTGCAAGGAAAAGGAGCATTTCTTTCTCCTGGGCCAGTGGGAAGGAAACAAGAACAGGAAATGTTATAGACAAAAAGAGAGAAGGAAGGGAAATTAAGGGCTTGGAACTTCTCTGTGGATTGGAGGAGAGTCTGTTGAGCGTGGAGGGTAAGAACTGCTTCTGTGAAAAACAGCCTCTATGAAGAAAAGAAACAGTTTCTGAGTGGACTAGAAACAAATGAAAAACGACAAGTAGCATTGACAACTCATGTACGGTAGATTTTTCTTCCTTTCTCCTTGTCTGATGCCTTCCACCAGGCTAGGCACACCCTGTGTGTTCAATAAAATTGAGCAAGCTTTAGGTAGAGAGGTAGACAGAAAGTTCAATATGTTCAAAGGCCACTAGGGGGCAGCCCTTGGTAGGCCGCTAGAGATCTGACAGTTTTCCATCCTCACAGGATTTAGAATAGAGAGCATCCCAGTTAGATTGGAATGCCCTTTGGAGGTAATCCATTTGGATCTCCTCTTGGTGAAGATGGGGAAACAGAAGTCAGATAGGGTAGGGGGCCAGGTGCAGTGGCTCACGCCTGTAATCCTAGCACCTTGAGAGGCCAAGGTGAGTGGATCACTTGAGGCCAGGAGTTCGAGACCAGCCTGGCCAACATGGTGAAACCCCCGTCTCTACTAAAAATACACAAAAATTAGCCGGGCATGGTGGCAGGCGCCTGTAATCCCAGCTACTCGGGAGGCTGAGGCAGGAGAATCACTTGAACCTGGGAGGTGGAGGTTGCAGTGATCTGAGATCACACCACTGCACTCCAGCTTGGATGACAGAGTGGGACTCCATCTCAAAAATAATAATAATGGTAATAATAAAACAAAACAAAGACATAGAGTAAGGGACGGCACTTGCTGAGGTGACACTGTAGCCAAACTGGGATTAGAACCCAGGGCTCCTGACTCCCAATCTTCCATTCCTTCTACTGTACCTGGGTGCCTCTTCCCTCTCCATTTTGTGGAAGGAGGAGAATGAAGGGTAGTGATGAGTGTACCAGGACACCATTCAATGGGTACATTTAAGCGCACAGAAAATATGTCAGTGCAGGGAAGGACTGGAGCAGTGGGGACCTGAGTGGGCGCCCCAGAATCCTGTCCTATTTTCCAAATTCCTCCCACCAAAGACCTCATTTCTAGTTTGTCCTGAATCCTCAGGCTGGGGCCAAAGAGATGACTGAAAATATCAGGGCCTGGACTCCAGTCTACAGTTCAGCTGGCCGCACTCATTCTTGCTATGTGGCTCTCCCCTCAGCCTTCTCACTGTGACACTTTGGGAGAAGGGAAATGGCTGAAAAATGCATTTGATGGTCAGTGTACCCATTATGCTTTAGTCCATGTTGCTAACCAGCAGCTCAGTTGTTGTACTTAGCAACTGTCTGGCTGGCTCGTTGATTGCACATGAGCAACCAGCTCCTTAAATGACGGCCCAGTGACTCCGTACCAGCCTCATGAGTGACTGGCTGGTATGCAGGCTGGCTGGCAAGCAGGTCCAGTGCCCTGAGCATAGTAGGTGCTTGACGGATATTTGCTGATTGGCTAGCTGTGCAGCCAGCTGGCTCCCTGGCTGTCTGTGTTTATCTGATTGTCCACACGGGCTGACCATGCTCTATTCTCAGGGGCCATACCTGGTGGATATCATCGTCCATCCCGTTGCTTGCAAACTCAAAGATCAGGTCACTAGGCTGTAGGGTAATAGCCATGCTGTCTTCTCAGCAAGCTGACAGCGGGATTTACAGAGCCCTCCAGAGCTGTGGGACTTTCTTAATGAAGAGACGCCACTCAGGTACTTGGGAGCCAATCTAGAGAGAAGGGAGAGATGGGGACAGTAAGTCATCCTTGAGCTCCGTTGCCAGAACTGCCAATGAACCAGAGCAACACTGCCTTGCTAAGGCAGACTGCCAATAGAGGAGCAGCCGAAAGGGGAGGACGAGGAGAGAAGAAGGGGGTCAGGGAAAGAAAGAGGGAGAAAGAGGAAGTCAACTGAATGGCCTCCCGTGGGAAGTGGCTGAGTGCTGGTGCCAGTCTGGTTCACCAGCATCAGCATCTCACACTAGTCCCAAAGACATGCAGCCTCCCTCCCTGCCTTCTCCCCTTCCCCTGGAGAAACTGACAGATGGAGAAACTCTGGGCTCTCTCCACCCTGAAGACGAATCCCCAGGGCATGGGGGAGTCAGGGCGCCTGGCCTGGCCTCATGGACATGGCAGCAGCATGGAGAATCCCTGTAACTCCTTTGGCTTGGGGAAGAATCGTATGAGGGGCTGAGCGGGTCCTGTGGATATACAGAGTGCTCTTCTGACTCTGCCTGGCTCCAGTTGAAGTCAGCCTTATTTTACCTTGGGAATAGGGACCAGTTAGCTTTGAGGGACCACATCTACAGAGGAAGAAGTGGGGATGGTCACACCCCTGCCTGCCTAGCTGTGCAGAGGTTGTGTTGCGTGAGGGCCAGCAGTGGCCTGACCTTGCTCTCAGGAATGAGACTCTCAGATGGAGCAACGCCTCCACAGAGCCTGGACACAGAAGGACAGGTGGGTCACGCACACTGATTTCATCAGCACCCCCCAGCCTCAGAGAGCGTGGCCTCCATGCTGTGTGTGGGTTTGTGTTCTTGGTTCAGCTTTGCTTTCAGTTTCAAAACTGAACTGTCACCCTGGGAACTGGCGAGGAGAGCCCCAGCTGGAGGAGGGGCAGGAGGAAACTTCCCCATCCTCTGGGGCTGGCTCGGGCCCCCTTTCCAGGAAATCTTCTGTGTTGGCCGCAGCCCAAACACATCTCCTCTCCCCTGCGTGCCCTCAGCACTCACAGTGTCACTCGGCGGCGGTGGGGCCTGCATGCGTTTCCCTTGTTGCCACTCCTCAGAGCTGTCAGTGCAAGGGCGCCTCATCTGCGTGCTGTGGGTGGTCACACCCATGCCTGTCTCCCACAGCCCCAGCCCTCCCACCTCCCTCCTTGCCAACCAGCTCTGCTCCTCCACCCCAATCGCTGGAGCTTCTCCACTTCCAGGCGCCACGTCTTTAGTCCCCTGGGCTCGGTTCTGAGTGTGTGGATGTGCGTGTGGGTGGGTCCACGAACAGCCTGGCCTCAGCATGAGCGCCTGAAGAATGAGAGCCATGTGCCACAGCAGAAGCCACACACTGCACCCCACCTCCTTGACACTCCCTTGCCAGTGCCGGGGTGGCCAAACCTTCTCCTGGCCCGGAATGAAATGAGGAACTTGAGAGGGGCAAAGGGGAGGAAAGGGAGGGGGACCACGGTGACCTCCCTGATGACCGCTCTCCCCCACAGGAGACACCCAGGCCTCTCGTACTTCCTTTCCGTTAGCCCACAGGGCTGGCCGTGCCCCTGTCCCACCCCCACCCTCACCCCCACACCTTTCCACCCACTCCAGCAAAAAGTCGGGAGAAGTCACTCAACTCAACCAGTCAGGCCTGAATTTCCCTTTGGACAACTGAGAGGCTGAGTACTGAGGAGGCGCCTGGGAAACTGCCGCCCTGGCCCTGGGTTCACTCCTCCCCCCGCCGCCCTACCCTCACCAGACCCTGCCTGCGACCCTTTCTCCACTGGTCTGTGAAGCCGCCCAAGGCCATTTATGCTTGGAAGGTCCCTCCCCCACTGCTAGCCTAAGCAGCCCCAAGGCTTGCATTCCATAGCAGCTCCTGCCCTCCCACAGGCCTTCTGTCTGCCTCCAGGAAACATTCTCATACTAATCAAATTAAAGGTGATCACTTTCACCTAATCCCACTTTGTCTAAACATGAAACTCCTGTGTGTGTCCCTTCCCCCAAGGTCACTCGCTATAGCTCTTCCCTTCGGACTTGCTCATCTCTTCTTCCCAGATCAGGATTTCATGTTTGCAAGTTCATTGCTGGAGTTATCTGGCTGGCCTACTTCTATGCACCTTCCTTACCTCCCCCATGAGACAGTGGCTTCCTTGAGGGCAGCTACAACTGTGTTAGACATTGATGAAACCTGAGCACCTTGCATCATGCGTAGCCTGTGGCAGACACTCAATTTGTGTTTGTGGAATGAATGCATGAATGAATGAAGGAATGAATGGGTGGATGGATGGATGGGTGGAGAGGTGGACAGATGGATGGATGGAAGGGTGGATGGATGGATGGATGGATGGGTGGATAGACAGGCGGGTGGATGGGTGGTATGGGTCAGTCAGCATCTCTGAGGTATGTTTTCTGGGCAACGTTTATCTGTACACAGTGGATGCCGGTAGGTGTCACGTATTCTGCCTTACTAGACAATGAGAAAAATGCACATACCTTCTGGGGTGACCTCTGTATGTTTTTGCATTGCCATTTACCCAGATGCGCTATCTGTGTTCGCTGTGGGTGTGCAAGCGCACTGCGGGTATACGCGCGTGCTGGGTGTGTGCATGTGTCCCCAGCATGGAGACGTGTGCATGAGAGCCTCTGTGTGTCAAAGGGCCGCCCTGGTCTGGCTGGCAAAGCCACAAGCTCAGTTGTCGGTTCCTCCTCCGGGCCAGCCTCGGCTGCCTTCGTGAGAATGACAAACCAGAGCTAATGCTGGCTGGAAGTGGGTGTGCTGAAGATGGGGGTGGGGTTCTCAGGAAGAGAATGCCATCCCCAGCTAGATATGTGGCCCATGGGTCTCAGGGGTGAGACCCCCCACCAAGGTCCATCTGCTAGGGAGCTGGCAGGGGAAGGAGGGAACCAGGGTCCTGCACTGCATTGAATGGAATCCTTGGCCATCAATGCAGAGAGGTTTGAAATAAAAGAGACACGATTCCCAGGGCATTCTTTTCTGTGTCCACGTGTTGAAGCAGCAAAATCCAGGACTTGGTGGGTGCAGGTTTTGCTGGCTCAGGATTATGAGGGATTGTGCGGCAGTTCCCAGCACCGGAGGCACATCCTGGTGATCATCTGCCCAGCTCCTGAAGCTAAGGTCTTGATGGGGTGGAGAGGGAGGAAGTGGCTGTCCTGCTCTTTTGGCCAAGGCTGAGAACCCATACTGCCCTAACCTCCCAGTCCAGAAAGTTTCCCCCTCCCCCTTGAGATGTTTGAGGATTTGAAAGTGAGAGGTGGAGAGAGGCTCATTTGCATGTTCACTCACTCTCCCCAGCAGAGGAGTGAACCCCCACTTCAGTCCTTCAAAATAACCTCCTTCTCCCAGGAACCTGAAACCAAAGATGCCACTACCATAGGAGGCGCGCCCTGCGGGCCAGGCGGGGCCCCACCAGAGGCTTCCCTCTCCAGTGGGTCCTTTGGCTGGGACGCAGCTTCATTAGTCTAGAGGCCTGGATCTGCCTCCCCAGCGAGTGGAGGATGCAGGGGGCACGCACGGACACTGGCTACAGGAACTGGTGTGCCTGGGAACCTCAGTAACTGGTGGTGAACCCCCCACCCTGCCGCATCCTTGCACAGCTCACAGCTTGCTCCGGTCACAGTCCACTGGCAGGGTGATAAGAGCTCCAGCTCCCTTCACTCCCTTTGAGGCCCTACAGGGTCTCTGGCTCCCGCTCCTGCTGCCTGTCCTACTTGGGCCAAAAACAAAGCCTTTGAGTGAGTAGTGCCCCCGGGTGTTCTCTGAGTGTGTGGACCACAGGAGGAGTCAGCAAGTGAAGGTGCCTGCTTCCAGGCCTGCAAATACACACCTCTGTGGCTCTGAGTGCATTTCAAAACCAAAGCAAAACTGAAGTGGTTTGGGCTGCTCCCGTATCACAACTGGGCCCCTTCAGACATACGGACCCTTCCTGGGGCTGTCACTGAAATATACCAAGCAGTGTCCAGCACCCACTCATCTGGGCCTCCCTGACAGGAAACCCCCCCAGTGTGAAAGCCACGTCCACAGTCTCCGTGGAGTGAGTTTGAATCTACACCCACTCAGCTGAGCCAATGGCTCTCACAGAATTGCTGGTAACACCCGTGGCATTTTCACAAATGCCAGGAAACATGGAGGCCAGATGGTCAGCTGAGCCACAAAGCACAGTTCTCCTTCTCCCGTTCCGTGTCCCCTCGGAGCCAGCTCCCACTCCTGAAATACCTCATCTTCCATGAAACCTTTCTGGAATTCTCTGGAAAGGAAGTGACCGTTTCCTTCATGCCATTTCCCATTCCCCCAACACCCCTCCCCTACAACCACAAGCAAAATGGAAACTACCCCAGAAACAGCTGTACCCTCGACTGAAAAACAGCCCGTCCACCGGCGAATAGTCATCAAGCAGGGAACTGCCTGCTGCAAACATGTGACCAGTGGCGTGGATTTAAGAGACAGAAGGCCAGAGTCAGGACGACATCCAATGAATAGTCCTGGACAGAGCAGAATTCACCCATCCTCAGGACTCGAACCCACAACCTCACCAGTGAGGGCTTGACTTCAATGAGTGAGCTAACCCTCCTCCTTAAGCAAGTGTCCAGTGAAGGAGCCTCAGCCATGCTATTTTGCCAGCTCTTTCTCTTCTATTCCTTTCTTTCTACCACCCACTCCATTTGAGACGAAACCAGGAAGACAGAGGGAAAAAAGGTTTTGCAAGCTCTGTTGGTTAGGGTTTCTCTGTGCTTATTTACAAGAAACCCAGTTTCCTTCCTTGTCCCTCTGTCCCCACCTGATTCCAGCATAGGGCTTGTCCCAACTCTGACAGTGAGGTGGCCCCAGGACTCTTCCCCAGTTCAGTCCCCCCCACACATACACATCCTTCTCAGCTCTCTTCTTCCCCTACCTTCTTCCCAGGCCTTGAACTGTCCCAGAGGAGGAGTGATTAGATGGCAGGTCCCAGGCAAAGAGAAGCCTTATTCTATTTTCTCCAGGGGACCCACAGCCCACCCACAGT